AATTGCAAGCATTTGGCACAATGGTTGGATGAAGATGAAGTGTCAAAACGCAGTCCAAAATTGGATATTCTTCAAAGAAAGCTAATGGTGTCTGTCTGGTGGTCCAGCGCTCGTATTATCCACTACAGCTTCATGAAACCTGGTCAGTCAATTACAGCAGATGTCTACTGCACCCAACTGCATGAAATGATGAGGATTCCTGCGATTAAGCAGCTGAGATTGGTCTATAGAGACAGACCAGTTCTCTTGTAAGACAACACTCAGCCACGTGTCACACAAACAACGCTGATCAAACTACGGAGGCTGGACTTGGAAACACTCTGTCATCCAGCGCATTCACCAGACCCTGCACCAACTGCCTATCACTTCTTCCGGGCTTTGGACCACCTGGGAGGAAAAATATTCAATTCTCAACAAGCTGTGGAAAACACCTCTCACAGTGTCGGTGCCACTCGCTCTCCAGGCTTCTTTGCTGCCAGTATAAAAAGGCTACCGTTAAGATGGCAAAACTGTGTTAGTAGATTAGGCACACACTTTGATTAATTGTACTGCTTCTTGTTGAGATATAATAAACTAATCTTTTGATTTGAAATCGGACATTTCCTATTTAATGACCTAGTACTTCTTTTGTAGCAAGTGATAAGTGATGTTACCTTCTTTTTAACACAAAGATAGAGGCCATTTTGCAGGGGCTTCTTCAACTTTTCTCTTTTATGTCTTGAATTTATTTTCTGTTAATATGTGTTTTTCTGATTTTGTTTTTACTGAGGAGTGTTTGTCTAGCTATAGTGAGTGTTTCTGTTATCTTTGTTTTTGGACCCAGCCAATCTCACCTGTCAGTTTTCTTGGTTAGTTATCACTTTTTCATGTTCTGTCTAGCCAATGCCTGCCCCACTTTTAGAAGGTAATTTTATTTCCTATCTTTTAGAAATAATGGAATTTATCAGAAATGGGTACCCTCAACTTTTCCCTATTTCTACCATCCCACCCACAAATAATATATGTCTATTAAAGCTAGTCTCTTTTTCCATGCTGTAAATCCATCCTCTTTTCTAAACCACTGCTGTTCAGTAGAACTTTCTGTAATAATGAAATTGTTCTGTATTGGTGCTGTCTGGTACTGTCAGTCACTACCCATATATGGCTATTGAGCACTTGAAATGCAGTTACTGTGACTGAGGAACTAAATTTGTTTTAATTAATTTAAATTTAAGTAACCACATGCTGTTGTGGCTATCATATTGAACAGTGTAGCTCTAGACCTTACTACATAGTATGTTCCTGTTATTTCTTGTTTCTTGAGTCTCTTTGACCACACTTGTCTTCTCTTCCACATTTAAATTGTTTCAGTCTTTCTCATCTTGAACACTTGGAATACATTAAAACTCGTTGCCATTTCTTTTTAGCTGTCTCTTGTCTGCTCTCTGTCCCTTCGTGGCAGTTTAGTTCCTGTGACTTTAGTTCTTATCCTGTTACTTAAAAGGGCACTCTCGCAGTGATGTTTCCAACTCTTCTCAGCTGCAGAATCCAGTAGATACTTTATCTTTCCAGAATTGATTGTTGATTGCCCTCTGCTTCTTGAAATTCTTGTGTTACTGCTTCGCGTGGGTTTTTTTTTTCATCTCAGACTGCTCCTTTTTGGTCTCCTTTTTTTTCTCTGATGCTCCTAAATGTTGGTATTCTATCTCAGACTTTATCCCATTTCTCTTCGCCTCTCTCTTTTCAACCCTTTTCTGTATAGTCCACCTTCTCCCTGAGTGCCTTCAGCTATCACCTGCATGTTCACATCTTTTAACTCTGTCTTTAGTCTGTTGCTCTCTTCTAAGTTCCAAACTGCAATGTCCAAGTCACTGTTGGTATTTCTTACAGAATATTCCAGAGGCACCACAGTCCTACTCCATATTTATTCATTAAATTTAAATTTAACTCTCATGAAAATGTACATATGGAAAAGTGTACAGATTATAAGGGTACACATTAATTCCACACAACTCACATCCGTGAAACTACCATCCAGGTCATGAAAAAGAACATTACCAGCACTTCAGAATTCACTTTACAGTTCACTACCTCTTCCTTCCTCCCCAAAGGTAAGCACTGTCCTGACATGACAATACAGAACTGTATTTGAACATTACTTAAATAAAGTCACACGGTGTGCATTCTTTTGTGTCAGTTCTTTTAAGTATTGCTGGTGACATTCATCCATGTTATTGACTATTATTTGTTTATTTTGTGTTTAACATTCTACTGTATGGATATAGCACAATTTATCTGTTCAGCCATCACTAATTATGTGGGTAATTTTTGAGTAAAATGTGTTATTATGAAATAATGCTGTTCTGAACATTTTTATGTATGTTTCACTGTATGTGTGTACGTAGTTCAGTTGGATATATAACTAGGAATGGAAGTACTAGATCACATGGTATGCATATGTTTAATTTTATTAATAGTAGATAATATCAGTTTTCAAAATAGTCTTTTGTCAATTTATATTTATATTCCTGTTAGCAGTGAATGAGTTGTTTCATTTTCTTATCAACATTTAATGTTGCCAGTCTTGCCCGGGCTCTGTGACTTACACTTGTAATCCCAGCATTTTGGGAGGCCAAGGCAGGAGGATTGCTTGAGGTCTTGAGTTCAAGATCAGCTTGGGAAAGATAGCAAGACCTTGTCTCTACCAAAAAAAAAATGCAAAAATTAGGCAGGCATGGCAGCTAGCACCTGTAGTCCCAGCTCCTGGGGAGGTTGAGGTGGGAGGGTCACTTGAGCCCAGGAGCCCAAGGTTACAGAGAGCTGTGATCACACCATTGCACTCCAGTCTGGGTGATAGAGTGAATCTCTGTCTCTAAAAAGAAAAAAATGCCAGGCTTCATAATTTTAGCTATTCTTGAAGGTCTGTTTCCTTGATGACTAATGGTATTGAACATCTTTTCCTGTGTGTATTGGCCATTCATGTTATTCATGCACTTTCTGTGGGGAACTACCTGTGGAAGTATTTACAGTCTTTTCTATTGTGTTTGCCTTTTCCTTACTGTGATGTAAGAGTTCTTTATATATTCTGGTTATGAGCTTTTTGTTGGTTAAACATATTGTTAACATCTTAGGTTTTGTGGCTTGCCTTCTTATTTTCTTAATGGTGTCTTCCTAGTCTTCCATCTTCCTTACTTTCCTTCCTACTCCAAGTCAGTTAGCCATCAGGTCCTGTCGATTTTTTCTTTTAAGTATCTATTTATCTTCTTTTCTCCATTCCTTTGGCCAGTACCTTAATACAGTTGGCCCTCACAACTCATGGCTTGGATCATAGATCATGTTCCTTCCAATCCATCTTTAGCTGCTTATAGAATGACTTTTCTAAAATTTAAATCTGGGCTATACCATTCCTCTGCTTGAAATCATCCAGTGGCACCTTAGAGGCTACAGCATAAAGCTCCAGAGGCGCCTGTCAAATACTTGCGGAAGAACTTAAGTCAAATGGTACTTCTGTGAAGCTTTTTCTTGACACCCCAATCATTTCCGCCTTTGTTCCCCATTGCTTTCTCTCATGGTGCCTACAAACGTGCTGTTGTTCTTTGTCTGTTCTCCTCAGTAGACTAAAAGTATCTTGAGAGCTTTCTATTATATCACCATTCTGCACAAGGCCTAGCATAAATATATAGTTGAGAGGTGACTGATTTAAAAATGAACTCATCATCTCTTTGGCTTTCCTCCTCATTTTCTGCTTAAAGATGACTTACATTTCACAGTTGGTGGCATCACTGTCTTTTCAGTTACCTTAGTCATGTATAACTCATTTCCTTTTCCAATACTCCCACAAGTAATTGGTTTGTAATCCATTACTAATTAATATTTCCTCTATTCCATTTCGTTAGCTTTGGTTCAGGTTCTCATCTGTCTTCACCAGACTGTTGTAATCACGGTTCATATGTCCTACCCATCTTTAGGCTTTCCCTGCTTTGTCTTTGATACTGCTGCTGGAATGCAGGTGGTTATCTCCTGGGTCAGTAAGCTTCTATTGCTGTTTTTTAACTGTAGGAAAAGTCTAACTTTTTTTAATCAGAAATTTTTATTTTTAATCTTTATTTAGGTATAATTGATATTATATATTATAATATAGTATGTATTATACATATATGTACTGTATACATTATATGTATATTTAATGTACATACTTTGATCAGTTTGAAAGTTCAGCCTCTTTACAAGACATTCAATGGCAGTCTTCACGAACTAATCTAGCTTCTTCCTTTTTTTTTCTTTTCCTCCTTTATCACAGAAACTATGTACTTTAAGCACTGGGCTTAGCTGACCACATATCTGAGTTCATCCTGTTCAGACTACTTCTCTTCCCTTTCTCTCCATTACTCTTAGGGGGAGGCAGTGCTTTGGAGGAACATAGACACCTAGGCTTAAACCTGCTTCTAACATTTGTCGTCCTTGGACAAACTTCTTAACATACCGTAACATAGTACTGGCACTTAATACATGCTGTCTTCCTCTTTCGCCTCGCCCCTCCTCCAGACAACAATTGGAATTTATCTCCACTCCTACAGAACACTTACTGTTTCTGTCTCACGGCATTTAATGTCTTCTGCCTTCCATTGTGTTTACTGGTATGCGTTTTATTGCTGTTCCACAAGTTCACATGCCCACTCAGGGCTAATACTGTGTCTTCTTGCACTTACCCCAGTTGATTTTTCAATCTTAGGTGAAAGATTTGCTTTGTTAATCTACATGTGTCATTTAGTTTCTAAGTGACAGACATGATTGGGATATGATTTTTTTGGAATCTCTAAATGGTAACCACAAGGACCATTTGTAAAGGCCCAGCCAAAGCAGGCTTTGTAAAAACTCATCTACTTAGTTGGAATTTAGGAGAATGATACAGTTGTCTTAAAAAGTTACTCTTAGGAATTTAAAGCTATAATTTTAGTGTCATTATATTAATACTAAAAAAAAAGTATTAGTACTGGAATAAATTGTGTTTTTCTTTGCAGCCGGTTGCTGAACCAATTCCCATCTGTAGTTTCTGTCTTGGTACAAAAGAACAAAACCGAGAAAAGAAGCCGGAGGAACTCATCTCCTGTGCCGACTGTGGCAACAGTGGTATGTGACTTCCCTCCATTTGCCTTCTAAAACATGTTATCAAGGCAAGAGAAAAGCATGTTTAACTGAGTTTGTGTCCTTGATCCTTATGAAATTAAATAGACGTGTGGCTCTTAATGACAGAGACACATTCTGAGAAATATGCCCATAGAGTGTACTTACACAGACGTAGGTGGTATAGTTTGTTACTCCTAGGCTCCAAACCTGTACAGCATGTTACTGTACTGAATACTCTAGGCAGTTAGAACACAATGATAAGTGTGTATGTAGTTAAATGTATCTAAACATAGAAAGCTACAGTAAAAATAAAGTATTATAATCTTATGGGACCACTGTTGTATATGTGGTCCATTGACTGAAATGTTATGTGACATATGACTGTATTTTAATTTGATTCTGATTTTAGGTAACAGAGATGAGCAGCTACACTAGGGAGGGATTTGAATGTATAGCTGAAATGTTTAATTCTATCAATTTAAATCAGTTCTTAGGTTTTTTTTAATAAAAAACTTTCTGTGGGCATATTTTTCCTGTTGATCTTTATATTTCACGATTGAATATCTGCTTAAATCACGGCATTCAGTTTGGAGTTATTGCTGATTTCTTTAATATTCACTACTTATCTTTCTTGGTTTATGCCTTAAGCTTGATGAATAGAAGCAGGATGATAACAGATTTGTTTTTCTGATGGAAACTTACACATGTCACATTGGGAAATAGAGTGTTGGCACCATGGTCTAGTAAGCAGTGTGGAATTCTGAGCCTAGAGAAAGATTTTGCACAGTCTCCTAATTTGCCAATTCCAGAGATATTTTTGTTGTATATTTTAAGAACTCACAAGACCTTACAGGAAGGCCTTAGTAAACCAGCATTATCTTGGCTCATTGGCTTAATTTTCAGTGTTTTATATTGCTAACAATTAGGATTTAGTCCAGAAAACAGAAACCACACTCAATCTAGAGGAAAGGAATTTAGTACTGGAATTAGGTATCTGTGAAACTGTTGGAAGGGCTGAAGAGGCAGGCTCTAGATGGGCCTTTAGGGGCCAGTGTCTCCTGGGACACTGCAGAACTGACCTGTCAGGAGAGTCACTATGTCTGCCTCCATCTGAAAGAGGTGGAACAGGAGGGAGGCCACTGAAGAGCTACTGAGCCCTGTAGCTGAAATGCTGAGTTTGGCCATTATCATAATAGCTACGGCAGTTGTGAAGGAGAAGAGTAGATACTGTTGTTTCCATGACTTTGCTTATCATTAGAAAGCAGTCAGTTCTAGGAGGAAGATCTTTGTTTCATTTTTGCCTTTCAAATATCCCTGGAACACATTCAGTTGGTAGAACTTAATTCATATCTAGAGCCTAGCTGTAAAGGAGTCCAGAAAGCATGGTTTGGAGCTTTTCAGTTTTTATGTATTGAAGGCATTAGAAGAAGGTAGAAATAGATCTTGAGTACTAGGTGACCATATCCAGCATGGTATCAAAAACCAAAATGAATTCTGAATGGATTTCACAATTGCAAATAAACCATAAAAATATAATGGGAATGCCATACAATGCAGTGATTTCCAAACTAGCTTAGTTGTGGAACCCTTTCCCCAAATAAAATCTTATAGGAACTTAAATATATAAAACATAAAAATGAATTTGTTTTATACAGGTGGGAATGAAATGGGGGAGGGGGTATTGTGTTATAGCCCTACCTTCTAAGAAGCATTATGTTTGAGGTGGTGTCTCTCTAAGCTAGGGAAGAACACAACTTGAAAACTATTACTGTAGAGGTAACTTTTTAAAGAAAGAGTAGCTGCAGAAATAAATCACTCCAAAATATAGCAGCTTAAAGCAGTAACAAACATTTTTTTTTTTTTCCTTACTGTTTCTGTGGGTCAGGAATTTGAGAGTGGCTTATCCGGGTGGTTTTAACTTGGTATCTTTCACGAGGTTGCAGTCAAGATTTTAACTGGTGCTGTGGTCGTCTGTAGGCTTCCATGATGGCTCACTTACCTGGCTGGCAAGTTGATGTTGTTGCCTATTGACAAGAAGCTTCAATTCTTTGCCATGTGGACCTCTCCGTAGGGCTGCATGAGTGTCTACTACATGGTAGCTGGCTTCTCTGAGCAAGTATCCAAGAGAGAGCAAGGTGGAATCTGCAGTATCTTTTAAAGCCTAGCCTTAGAAGTCACACTGTGTGGTTTAAGCAATACCCTATTGGTTATGCAGATCAACCCAATTCAGTGTGGGAGGGAGCTGCATGAGGACGTGACTTCAGGAAGCAAGAATGATTGGAGAGCAGCTTGGAGGCTGGTGGTCACAGTAACCAAGAAAGAAAAGCATGGATGTAGTCAAATATATGAATGTTGATATTTTCTGAATTGAAAACTATTATCACATTGTTTTTTCTGTGAGGAAAAAAATAAAATAGCAAACTAACATACCCAAAATAAAAAGAGCAAGAATAATTTAGGAAAAATAATTGCATTAAATATGGCAGAGGGCCAAAGGGTATAAAAGTAGAAAAAGAACATGTTTTCATTTCTAAGCATAAAATCCAAAGAACAGAGCCTATGAACAGGCAGTTTATATGAGAGAAAATAAACAGTTGAGCATATAAAAAACATTTTACCCCAGTAATAATAGGAATGCATACCAAAGCAGCAGTGAAATATCATTTTGTAGCTTTTATAATCATCAAAATTGAAAGATAACAGAACCGAAACCTAGAGCTGATGAAATTGTGGTAAAACATTTGTTCTTTGCTAGTAGCACTGGATACTGTATCATAGCTTTTGGAAAATGTTTTGGCAGTGCATATCAACCTATCAAGCTATAAAAAATGTTTAATTCGTTTCACTTGCCAATCCCACTTTCAGGAATTTATTCTAACGAATTAATTTAAAAGAAGGAAATAATGTATAAATGAAATAATTCATTTTAGTGTTCTCTAACTTATGGGTAATAGTCTAAATATTTAACAAAAAGGAAACGGTCACATAGGTTATAGTGTCTCGAATCAGTGGAAATAATCAGTTTAAGGAATATAAATATAAAGTTTACTTAAATGTAGAAAAGCAAAGCAAAAACTGCATATATACTATAATTAAAACCATTCAAGGGCTTTCAGCTAATCTAAAAAGGAAAAGTAGAACATGAAATTGGCTATTATTCTAGGATGATGGGATTACGGATGAAATTTTCATACCTCTTCCATTTTCCTTCAGTACTAGTGATGTTTGGATGATAAACTTACAGTCTCATAAAGGAGAATTCTTTTGGAACAAAAAAGAGAGGAGAAAAGATGATTTAACCAGGCCTTTTTCTCATCAAAGAAAAATAAACATAGCCAACTTTTGGAGGAGAAGGACAAATCTTTTCAGAGTTGAGTGCAAATTGGCTACCATAAATTTTTGAGAATCAAACTGATAACTAACTTTGGAAGAGGAAGCATTTTTTCTGTTGCTGTTAATTGTGAACACAGTAAAAATATTGCTTTTGGTTTTAGTTTTAGCTTGAGTGCCTTAAATCAAGAGCAAATGATTCACTTTAAATGATGATATTTTTGTTATATACAGTAGGCTCCCCCTTATCTGAGGGGAATATGTTCCGAGACCTTCAGCAGATACCTGAAATCTCAGATAATGCCTAACTCTACATACTCAGTGCTGTGTTTTTCCTGTACATACATACCTATGATAAAGTTTAATTTACAAATTAGGCACAGTAGGAGATTAACAACAGTAACTAATAATAAAATAGAACAATTGTAACAATATACCAGCATCACTACTCTTGCGCTTTGGGACCATCATGAAGTGAAATAAGGGTTAGTTGGACACAAGTATTGCAATACCTCGGCAGTCAGCCTGATAACTGAGGTGGCTACTGAGCTGATAAAGTGAGTGCCTAGCGGGTGGGCAGCATATATAGCATGGATGATTCGCATCCTGGGTGGGGCATTCCAAGATTTCTTCTTGCTATTCAAAACAGCACACAGTTTAAAAGTTACAGACTGTTCATTTCAGGAATTTTCCATTTAATATTCTCAGACTGTGGTTGACTTTAGGTAACTGAAACCCTGGAAATCGAAACCTCAGATAAGGGGGCACTACTGTATTTTTAAATCATAAAAGTAACACGTTATCGTTAAAAAATGAGAGCACAGGCCGGGCGCGGTGGCTCACGCCTGTAATCCTAGCTCTCTGGGAGGCCAAGGCGGGCGGATTGTTTGAGCTCAGGAGTTTGAGACCAGCCTGAGCAAGAGTGAGACCCTGTCTCTGCTAAAAATAGAAAGAAATTAATTGGACAACTAAAAATATATAGAAAAAATTAGCCGGGCATGGTGACGCATGCCTGTAGTCCCAGCTACTCGGGAGGCTGAGGCAGGGGGATCGCTTTTGCCTAGGAGTTTGAGTTTGCTGTGAGCTACGATGACGCCACGGCACTCTAGCCCGGGCAACAGAGTGAGACTCTGTCTCAAAAAAAAAAAAAAAAAAAAAAAATGAGAGCACAAAAGGATATAAAGTGAAATGTAAAATCCTTCTCCTTTAAAACGTTTGTAAGTCCGTTTTCTAACAACTTTTCGTGTGTTCTTCCAGAAATGGCCTGGACATGTTATGTATTCGTGTACATAGCAGCCTGTACATAAACATAATGCTTTGATGCAGGCCTAATAAAAGTTTAAAGTCTGTCAGGTTTTTAATAATCAAATTGGGGGGTGTGTGTTCTAAATTCTATTTAATATTCATAAAACTGAATTGGGGTACTAAGTCCTGATGAGACATGTATGGCAAGCTTCCAGGAACATCTTGGTTTTTTTGATAAATGTTTTGTATTTAAGATAATTGCCTTTTCCTACTTCATTTCTTTAGTATGGTAAAAAAATGTTTCATTCATGAATTTTTCCCCTCTTATTAGGTCATCCATCCTGTTTAAAGTTTTCCCCCGAACTAACGGTTAGAGTGAAGGCCTTACGGTGGCAGTGCATCGAGTGTAAAACGTGCAGCTCCTGTCGAGATCAAGGCAAAAATGCAGTGAGTATCTTTGCCTTCCAGCGTGAGTCTTTCATTTAGAAGTAGAATGTACAGCTGGCATTTCTATCTAAGTATGACTGGTTATTTTTCAATGACTTGGTCCAATAGAATTTATAATAGTAGCTTTTTCAAATTATATGTAATTAGCTTAGAATGCTTGCTTATTTAGACTTTGATTATCTCTAGATAATTTAAAGTACCTTAATGATTTATTTGCAGAGACACTATGCTACATTAAGGAAATACTCCTGAAATTTCTTTGAGCAATATGGAGGCATTCATTTAGAATGGTCATTTGGTATTACAAATTGTCCCTTTCTTTTTTAAAAACATACCAAGATTAGCATATTTCTGGTTATTGGATATACTTGAAAGTAATGAAATTGTAGTTTTTTATGAAAGATTGGATGAAGCGCAACTTTTTGCTAAGTTGGACTATCCATATACGTAGTTAATACAAATGAAGGAAACTTAGATTTATGGTAACTCACATCTTTTTTGAGATCTTTGAAAGTTCCTAGGTTTTATGAGGTTATGATCCTGACATGTTTCTGCTTCATAAAGTTAAGCAGAATTGTCCTGTCCTTTCTTTTTTTTTGTAGGATAACATGCTCTTTTGTGATTCATGTGACCGGGGTTTTCACATGGAATGTTGTGATCCACCACTCACCCGGATGCCAAAAGGTGAGAAATACTTTCTGGAGTCAAACTGGGAATATATAGAAATATGTTAGTGAAAACGTATTTTATCTACTTTGTTAAAATGAAAGAATAATTGATCTTTCTTTTTTGGGATCGTGTAAGTAGGAAGAGAGCTGTCACCTTAAAAGGTGGGGGTAGTTTTTCTCTTTAGGCATCCTAACATTCTTATGTGGTATGGACTTATTATTATTTTCCTCTATCTTCAATATTTAGGCATCCATGAAGGGTGAAGTGGTTCATTTATAAGTATTTGCCAATCTCCAGCTAGAGGATAAAATGCTTGCCTTATGTAATATCTTGAAATATCTCTTTCTTTAAAGGGGGAAATGAAATTGTATTAGGTCACATTAATTATATCACTGCTTAGCACTTTTGAGGGACCTAGAGCTGTAGAAATATGTTTATTCAAAACTTTAACAAAATTTTATAATGTAAGTTTTGAACAAATAAGTATCCAAAGCATAAGGGTGCAGCTTAATGTTATTCTATTCTTTTGACTCCTGTGCATTCAAAGGTATTTAGTTGGGTTATAATTGCCTTTTGGTTAGACTTTTATAGAATACCCATCTTATTGCATGCTGATAGTTTCTTTTTTAAAAAGTTGAGTTAGTCACCCCTGTTTTGTCCTATCATAAAGTCCATTTTAACTCTGATTTTGTGATTATAGGTTTCTTAAGTAAAATGCCTATAGGATATTTGATAATGTCTGTTTGGAGAAAGTTTTCCTGTTGATGAAAAAGGATTCAACCATAGGTTGTAGCCAAGTTATCCACTTTAGGATCTTACTTGAATTACTTTTATGCCATTTATTGATTATTACCTTTTGAAAAGTCTTAAATTTATATGTATTAAAAGAATAAATAACCACCTTTCCCTACTTTTTCCATTTATTTCAAGTCTGGACAAGAGGCCTTCTGAGAATCCTTCAAGATAAGAAAGATTCTCTTAGGATTGCTTTCCTGTGTATTTAACTTCTACAAAAGAGATTTTATAGCAGCTTACAGCAGGAAACATTTTATTTTGAAATTATTTCAGACTTACAGAAAAATGGCAAAAATAGTACAGAGAACTCTTATTATGTCCTTTGACCCTGCTTCCCTAATGGTGTCATCTTACAAAACCATTGTACCATTATTGAAGCCAGGAAATTCATGTTGATGTGAGATGATTAACTAACTACAGACCTTACTTGAATTTCTGGTCCAGGATCCAGTCCGAGATCTCACATTACATTTAGCTGTCGTATTTCCTTCGTCTCCTCCAGTATGTTGTAATTCCTCGGCCTTTGTCTTTCCTGACCTTAACACTTTAGAAGAGTGCCCATTAGTTATTTTGTAGAAAGCCCCTCGATTTGGGTTTGTTTGCTGGCTTTCTCATAATTAGATTGACATTATGAATTTTGATAAGAATACCGCAGAAGTGATGTGCCCTTCTTAGGGCATCATGACAGGTATATAATAGTGCTGTGTCTCATTACTAGTAATGTTAACTTTGATCTCTTGATCACAGGTTAAGAAACCTGACAGCCACCGGAAAGTTACTCTTTTTCCCCCTTGGCCACTAACTTTAGCATCTGTTAATGATTCTTGCCTGCAACAATTACTGCTATGATTTTTGCATAGTTTGTATACTTTCATTATTCTTTGTACATTTATTAATTGGAATTCTGCTATGAGGAAGAGCTATCCCTTTCTCCTATTTATTCATTCAATTACCTATATCATTATGGATATTCTATAATTTATAATCCATTCCCTTGATTATTTTTTTTGCCCAAATTGTACTAGATTTTGCTGTTGGGAACTCCTTCAAGACCTGTGTCCTATTGACATGCCTCTAATCATTTTTTGCGCACTTCTTTATTTTCTGTCACTACAAGATGTTTCAGGTTATCCCATGTTTTCTCTTCCGTGACCTGGAATCAACTATTCCTCTGTGGAAACCTGGCTTTTTTTTTTTGGAGGATGGTAATTACACACCAATATCTGGGTGCTGGGTGTAGATCAGGGGTTTCTAACTGAGGATCAGTGGACTTCATCCATGCGCGGGCTTCAGGATGGATGTGAATCCCTTCCAATTATCTGAAGAATTTTGTGTGTATGTGTTTTCACGTTTATGGGGAGAAAGGCGTTTTATCAGGTTTTCAAATGACAGTTCTTTATCTGAAAGAGGTTAAGATCCTGACTTAGGCTATCTGAAATCTTTCGGTGTATTTATGTCTATCATACTTTCATGTGGAATTTTATTTTTTTATAGGCATGTGGATATGTCAAATATGTCGACCTAGGAAAAAAGGACGAAAACTTCTACAAAAGAAGGCAGCACAGATAAAACGGCGCTATGCTAACCCAATAGGACGTCCAAAAAACAGGTTAAAGAAACAAAACACGGTGTAAGTTGTACTTGTGGCAAGGTGAGGGGAGAAAAGGATAGGGTCTTCTCTATAGAGTAGGGTTCACTTGTTTTCTTTATGAAAAAATATTTTCCATTGTTGTAACTGGCACTTCCCTATGATAATAAGGGCTAACAATTATTGCGCCCTTAGTACATTGCCAGGCACTGTTCCAAGTGCTTTACACGTATTAAATTGTTTAATTCTCCCAACAATCCAATGAAGTGTAGGTACTGTTGTTATATCTATTTTTCAAAGGAGGAAACTAAGGCGTAGAGACATTAAATTGCATGAGGTTATATAGTAAGTTTTAAACTGGGGTTAAAATCTAGGTAGTCTGGCACCAAAGTCTGACTCCTAACCATTGTATCTCTTCTCTTATATTAAAAAAACAGGAAAAAAAAATTTATGTTACCATAGCATTTCAGATGTTCCTCTCTTGATCTATTCTGAAATGTTTATATCTATTAGGTATACAAACCACTGGGTAGGTTCTTCCTCTTGAGGTGATAGCTAAGTCCCATTTTTGTGTTCTCTTGATGTAAAATAATTTGCAGAAATCAGAAATTATGGACTGGGAAACTGGGCTATGTCTGGAGGAGGTAGGGCAAGATTCAGTAGCTAATTCTGTCTGTTTTTTAATATCTTTATAGTAATTCAACTTGGATGATAGGTAAAATATCTTCAGGCTTTTCAACCTCTTTATTCGCAAAAATTTTACCCACCTTTTTTATATTTAAGACTATCTTGTAGGTTATATAACTGAAATGAAAGGGCAACTAGCAGCCTGAAATACACAGAACTAGTATTGTAGTCTATATTTTCAATATTAAATCAAACTGTAATTTTCCTATAAAATGATCTTTTGATTCCTGGCTTTCAGAGAGTAACCCATCCTTGTGTTTAGAGGTAAAAGTATAACTCTGAGTTGGTACAGAGATCACAGTGTTATAACTTTATACCTTGAAGGACCTTAGTTCTCTGGTCCAGCTCTCATTTTACAGATGAAAATGCTGATGTTTAGAGAAAATGTGATTTGTCCAAGATGTGCAGCTAGTAAGTGGTAGAATTATGACTTGAGCTTGTCTTCTGACTCCTGGCCTAGTGTTCTTTTCACTATAAATAACTAGTCTCTCTGGAAATAGATGTATCTAATAACAATATTACTTCTCATTCATATAGTACTATGTATAGTTTACAGAACATTCTTAACAATATAGATTTTTTTTTGTAAATCTGTAGGCTGTTTACTAATTATATGTTATATATTAACATAACCTTATAAAGATTTCTTTTTAATAGTTACCTTTTTTCCCTGTTTAATTCTTCAGATCAAAAGGTCCCTTCAGCAAAGTTCGAACTGGCCCTGGAAGGGGTCGTAAACGTAAAATCACTCTCTCCAGCCAATCAGCATCATCATCATCAGAAGAAGGATATTTAGAGCGAATAGATGGCTTGGACTTCTGCAGAGATAGCAGTGTCCCCTTGAAGTTCAACAAGAAAACCAAAGGGCTCATTGATGGCCTTACCAAATTCTTCACCCCTTCCCCTGACGGGCGGAAAGCTCGAGGGGAAGTGGTGGACTACTCTGAGCAATACAGAATCAGGAAAAAGGGCAACAGAAAATCAAGCACTTCAGATTGGCCCACAGGTAAAAATTTGAAACAAACTTGGAAACAGAAAGTATTCCATAAGTGTATTATTTGGAATAACACTAGTTATCTAGGATAGATTTATATTTGATTATAAAAATTGATTATGAAATATAAGAACTTATTAAAAATACATATTTAGGTGATACTAACGTGATGACTGTGCCAGGAATTTAGAGGCTAGAGATGAAGTTACAGAACGTATCAGTAGGCGCTGTTGGGCAAAAGGAAGCTGTATTTTTGGTAGAACCACAAAGAATATACCTACAGAAATTTGAGGTGTAACCTTGAATCAAGGATAATTTTACATTTCATAAATTACTAAGTAAATGATGTGATGAGTATCATGATGCTTGTTTTATTCCCAGAAGGATATTGGAAAAAGTAGAGGTGAGTAAAATGCTGTTGTTCTAAACATAAAGACCAAAATATATGCAAATGTAATAAGGTCATTTGTTTTTCTAGTTCAAATCTTGGCAGATATAGTGTTAAGTTTTCATGGATTATACTTAAAAAGAGAGAGAGAGAGAGAACCACAGCCCCAGACTATTTGCTTATGTATCACCCTAAGTTCCCTAGTTTCCAAAGTAGAAAACATCTGTGGAGAGGACCTAATGGTGTAGCAGATAATTCAAGTCAGAAGAGAAGAATTTGATTAGCTTCCAGATAATTAAAGCTTAAAATAGTCTCGTTGCTGAGCCTTGAGTTTAGGAAAACTAACCCTGTGAAGGAAGCAGAAAGGGCTCTGAGGAAAGCAAAAGGAAGCCAAAGTTATAGTGTCTCATCTACTGCAAGAGAATTTCTTAACTTTGATTTCCTCCCGTAAACATGCCATTGGCGAGTGAGTGTGTTCACTGCTCCTTCACATCCCTGCTTACGCAAATTGCTGAATGGTCCATTACAGGAGAGAAAGTCCTCCTCATTGTCGGATTCCCTGTTCATGCTCTATTGATTGGCTTTTCAGCAGGGTGGCAACCAGCTAATGACTCTTTAAGCGTCTAAGACTTTTCATGTCTTTATCAGCCATGTAGACTGTAGATAAACTCCAGTCTGAGAGTGTTTAAGAAACATTCTAAGAAAATACGCAATCCATTTAGATTGGACTTGGAAAGAATCTCAGAGCAAATCCTAATGAAAGACATTTTTGAATTAACCATTTGCAGTGAAGATGGTTTATTAGAAGAATCTACTAGAAAGTTTTAGAAATAGAAATAGAGCAAAGTTATAAAGTATATGGAGAAGAGAACCAGTATTGAGCTTTAGGCATTGGTCTCTAAGCTCTGTCATCTTCTCCTGTAAAGTTTAAGGAACAATTTTGCATCTCTGATACAGGGCTGTCAAACGCTGTATTAGATCTGTTCCTGCATCCGTCTGTGTCATGCACTAGGGGGCATTAAAGTCACTTACTACCTTTAGATTGTACTTTTTTTTTTTCAGTTAGGGAATGTTGCCACCAGTGAGTCCTTGTCCTTTTTCTTCTTGTATTAAATGAATAACAGCCTGTATGTGCAGCTGATTTGAAAAGAACTGTCACTGACTGGTCTTTTTATCCATACTCATGCAAAGAGGAAATGAGGCCACAGCATTGTCATCCTCATATACAAAGAATAATGATCTACATAGAATAATGATCTACATAATTTTCAAATATTCCCGTCACTAGTTTTTTTTCCCAGTTGAGGAAGATCCATGATTTTGTGGATAATTATCATTAATTTCTCATACTTAACCAGAGGATTATCATCTGTGATCCTCAGGTTTATGGAGTTTGTGCTTTAAAAGGGCACCCAGGTTGGTGCAGTGGCTCACGCCTATAATCCTGGCACTTTGGGAGACAGAGGCAGGAGGATTGCTCGAGCTCAGGAGTTCAAGACCAACCTAGGCAAGATAATGAGACTCCCGTCTCTATAAAAAATTAGCTGGGTGTGTTGGCACACACCTGTAGTCCTAGCTGCTTGGGAACCTGAGGTAGGAAGATCACTTCAGCCCAGGAGTTTGAGGCTGCAGTGAGCTATGATTACACCATTGCATTCCAGCTTAGGCAACAGAGGGAGACCTTGTCTCAAGAAAATAAAAATAAATAAAAGGGCACCCAGAATGTGATGGGAGTTAGTACTTCATAACATAAGAAGCTACTTCAAAGATTATCTTTTTGAACCTTGATGTGTTTAAACTCATACTAAAAGTGTCATATTCACACTATTTCAAAATAAATTTATACCCTTTAGGCCCTTTTCCTGTTCTGCCTTTGTGTATATTAAAATATAATTTCTTTTTAATGAAATTTACATTTAGTTATGTGATATTTTTAGGAAACTTTAAGTCAGTTCAGGATTTTTACTATAAGGCGGTTATAATGTATAAATATTCTTTATTGAGTAGTATCCTTCTAGGAGTCAATTTAGTGCTATCCTCTTCTCTAAATAATATTAAGGTCTTTAAATGGAAATAAAGACTTCTGAAATTTTTTCTAGTTCATGTATTAAACTGAGGATAGTACAGATAACATGTGAGTGAGCCTTTTCTTTATATGCAGACAATCAGGATGGCTGGGATGGCAAACAGGAAACTGAGGAGCGGCTCTTTGGGAGCCAGGAAATCATGACTGAGAAAGATATGGAATTATTTCGTGATATCCAAGAACAAGCACTGCAGGTAAAGTTGGATATTCGGGTTGGGCAATCAAGCAACTTGTTTCTGGATGAGAAACAGAGGATGACATTGTAGGTAAAGCAGCAATTTGTCTATCTAATCTAGAAATTTGTGGTTTGTGTGTATATAGTTCCGGTTATAATATTCTTTTCAAACCCAAAATAAATGTTTTGGTTTTGCAGATAAACACATTGCATTGATTACCAGTATTAAATGAGCTTGGCTTATTTATTTTCTATCTTATTTTGTGAAGAAGAGTTTGGTATTCTCAAGAGTGATGAAGCACCCAATCATTTATTGAAGACATACTTGTTAAACACTTCTGCCTTGATCCTTTGTGACACACGGCAAGATATAAATGTATAGACAAAGAATCTGCTCAAGTGCCAAATGCCAGAGATGGCAACATGAATGACAGAATTCTTTCCCTTAAATGTAGTTTAGGAGAGACGTGTAAATAAATAATATTAATGTGAAAAGTTCAATTATAAAATACATTGTGTTTTGGAAGAATAGGGAAGCAAGTATCTGCTTCTGCCTGGGGACGTCACAGGAGGATTCACTGAGGGGTCTTAAAGGACATGTAGAAGTTTATCAGGCTGTTGGGGTAGGGTCCTGTATCATCCGGAGGAACAGAGTGAAGATGGAACAGACTTGAGATGAGGGAAGCATGCTTAACTGTGGGAATTAAAATGGCTTAGGATAGAGAGCACAGGGTATAGAGAATGGCAGGAGATGAGGTTGGAAGAGTCTGCAGGAACTAGATCATTAAGGTTCTTTGCAACCAACTAGTTTACCATGTAAGCCAAGTTGAGTTCTCAGTCTCTTATCTTGAAAGAAAGAATTTATAAGGCTAATGCCAGTGATTCCAGTTGTGTAGGTAAAACTCTTTGGATTAAGAGACCCATTGGTGAATAGACTATGTCTGTTTAAGACAGTTTTGAAAATAAAAAAATATATATAAATACTCAGTAAGAATTTACTCAGCCTTCTACCATATTATGATATAATAAAGTATCGGCTTTCAGTCAGATAGACCTGGGTTCAAGTCTTGGTGTGTCAGTTACTAACTTCTGCTTTGGGCAAGTTGCTTAATCTCCCAAGGCCTGTTTTCTTTCCTACTAATAACTAAAATAAAGTATTATAGGTACTATAGTAGAAATCTACATGAAGTTCATTGGGAACTCTAAGGGGGGTATAGTTATGTTCTTCCTGACTGGAAGAACTGGTTTTTTTCCTAAGTAAGTTGCAGACATAATACTAATATCCCTTTACTCCTAATTATTTATGTGTATTTTCTAAAACAAGGACATTCTCATACATGACGATGATCTAATCATCAGATCAGGAATTTAACACATAAAGTACTATTGTCTAATTTAGTTGTCATGTCTCTTTAGTTGTCATGTCTCCTCCTATCCTGGAACAGTTCCTCAGGCTGGGCATGGTGGCTCACCTGTAATCCCAGTACTTTGGGAGGCCAAGGTGGGAGTATCGCTTAAGGCCAGGAGTTCAGGATGAGTCTGAGCAAGAGTGAGACCGTGTCTCTACCTAAAAAAAAAAAAACTTAAAATTTAGTTGTCATGGTGGCATGCATCTGTAGTCCCAGCTGCTTGGGAGGCTGAGGCAGGAAGATCACTTGAGCCCAGGAGTTTGAAGTTGCAATGAGCCGTGATCCCACCTCTGCACTCTAGCCTGGGCAACAGAGGAAGACCCTGTCTTAAGAAAAAAAAAAGGAACGGTTCCTTAGTCTTTATCGTTCATGACCATGACAGTTTTTATTCCATAGAATGTCCATCACTTTGAGCTTGTTTTATTTTTGTTTTATTTTTCATCCTGATTAGAAAATATCACAGAGGTGATGTGTCCTCCTCAGTACATCATATCAGAAGGCATGTAGTATCTATTTGTCTCATTACAGGTGATGCTAACTTTGATTACTTGGTTAAGGTGATGTTCTGCCATGTTTCTTCTCTGTAAAAATTATTATTTTCTACCTATAATTAAGTATCTTGTGAGGACATACTTTGAGATAAATATGCAGATACCCTGTTTCTCATCAAACTGTTACCCACTAGATTTAGCATCTAGAGAGGATTCTTGCTTGAAATATTTACTTTTTTGGTAACCAAACATGATTTTCTAATTTTACCATTTCTTTTATATTTATTGATTGATACTCTACTCTAAAAAAGAACTATTTCTTCTTCCCACTTATTTTTTCATTGTTTAGACTCAGAGATTCTTATTTTATAGGTTATAATCAATTGCTGTTAGTATTTATTTTGATGCTTAAATTGACCCAAATTTGGGCAGGAGGGAGCTTCTTTAAGCTGGCTCCTGTGTCCTTTCCGCATGTCTCCATCATTTGTTTACTTCTGGCCACAGCCAGATGTTCTAGGCTCCTGTTCTAGCTGTAGATCCCTGGCTTCTTTTAGTGGAGAATGGGAGTAAATGCTAGTTCTATCATTATACTTCCTTAGAAGGCCCAATAGGTGCCATCCTTCTCTCTCTCTGTCATATTCCACAATCAGTCCATCAGCAAATCCTAATGGTTCTGCCTGCAGAATATATCCAGAATATGTCTAGTTCTTACTGCTTCCAAGCTACGGTCATCTCTGACTTGGGCTATTAGGATAGTCTCTTGACAACTATCCTTGCTTCTACTTTGGCTCCCCACCCCAGTCTCTACCCAGGGGCCAGAGTAATTATTTTCAAACTTAAGTTGGATCACATCACTCCTTTGCACAGAAAATCTCCTGTCTTTCAGTCTTGCTTAGAATTTTTAAAAACTCAGAGCCTTTATTCTCCCCTCCAAGGCTCTGTGTGGTCTTGTGTCGCCTCCTATTTGGCTACTCTCGTTCCACTCTTGCCCTTATCACTCTGCGCCAGCCGTGGCCACCTCTTCCTCAGACACACTGAGCACACCTGCCTGGAGCCTGCACTTGCTGTGCCTCTGGGTTGCCCTGCCTCTAGTGTCCATGCTGCTCAGTGTGTCCTCTTGTCAGAGAGGCTTCCCTGCCTCCCGAACTGTTAGTAAGATAGCTTACCTGCCTGCCTTTTCTACATGGTACTTGTCACCTTTTGAATTTAAATATTTGCTTCTAGAATGTAAGTACCTAGAGAGCAGGGACTTTCTTTTCGGTCACTGCTGTATACTGAGTACTTGGAATATAGTAAAAGCTAGGTAAATATTTGTTTAATGAATAGATATTTGCATGAAATTTGTGCTGGGAGAAGTGGGGCAGTAGTTGGAATGATAGGAATATGGAGAGAGAGATGACCAGAGAGAGTTAAAAGGCAGGTGGTGAGCTCTGCTGAGGCTCAGTGGAGACGGTGTAAATTCACATTGACAATAATCTGGCTAATTGTATGTTTCTTCCAGCATTTTATTAAACTTGTGATTGTCCATGTATGTATCTGGCATCAAGGAAATAAATAGCTAGATATTAGAAGTCTAATTCATGGTTATTTTCATTGGCAATGCACTAAAATTCTGTTGGTGGTGATATTTCTCTATGGGGTTTACTCATTTGGTATTCATGTGCTTGGTACTAGAGCTGCAGGGTAAACCAAAAGACATATACTCTACCTTCGTGAAGATTTTGGTCTCATGAGTGAGACATTAAACAGTCATAAAAGTAATTACAAACTAACAGGAGGAAGAAAATAAGAATGCAGTGAGAGATTATAACAGGAGCCTCCTGATGTACATTGTTGAGGGTTGAGATTAGAGGGAGTGTGAGAAGGGAAGACTTCTTTTAAGAAGTAACAATTTCGGCCGGGCGCAGTGGCTCACGCCTGTAATCCTAGCACTCTGGGAGGCCGAGGCGGTTGGATTGTTTGAGCTCAGGAGTTCGAGACCAGCTTGAGCAAGAGCGAGACCCCGTCTCTACCAAAAATAGAAAGAAATTAATTGGACAGCTAAAAATATATAGAAAAAATTAGACGGGCATGGTGGCGCATGCCTGTAGTCCCAGCTACTCGGGAGGCTGAGGCAGAAGGATTGCTTGAGCCCAGGAGTTTGAGGTTCCTGTGAGCTAGGATGACGCCACAGCACTCTAGCCCAGGCAACAAAATGAGACCCTGTCTCAAAAAAAAAAAAAAAAAAAAAAAGAAGTAACAATTTATACAGAGTTCTAAAAGCTAAGTCCAAAGCCAGCAAGGGAATAGAGCTAGAGAGAAGAATATTCAAGACTCAAGTAGACTGCCTGTGTAAACATCTTGAGACATGAAAGAAGTTGGTAAATTTGAGGAACTGAAGTTCAGTGTAACTAGAATATAGTGAATAAAAAGTCTCACAAGATGTGATGCTGGAGAGAGAGACTGAAGCCAGAATTTGGGATTTGGGGTTTTATCATAATTGTAATGGAAAGCCATTGAATGGTTTTTAGCAAGGAAATAGCAAGATCAGAGTTTTATTAAATACTGGGTTTTTTTGGCCATTGCATGAAGAATGGATTGGAATTAAGCAGGATTGGAAGCAGGGCCACCACTTCATAGGCCTTTTCCAGTGATCTGGATGAAAGTAGATGATAGGTTGGCCTAGAGAGGCGATAGTGGAAATGAGAAAGAAGTGATTGGATTTAGAATATATTTTAGAGAATATATATTTCTGCTGATTCAGAACTTGATGATAGATTTGATGTGAAGTTTGAGGGAACAAGAGATTATCAAAGATGACTTCCACACGTTCTCTGACTTAACATAATGAAATGATTTGAAGCCAGTTGGGAAAGTTAATGTTGATTAGATAAGAGGATGTTTTGAATAATAAAAGGATTCATAAAGATAATGCAGAAAGTTATTTTTGATAGCATAGATATGGCTTAGTAAAAGTGCTTCAACCTGAGTTTCAAAAATTTTGCAGGAAGATTTTATTACAGTGTCTTCGATAGTCTTACAGTAGCACCAACAAAAGACAGATGATAAAGGAGTTAATGTTGGAATCCATCCACCCAGCAGCACATCATTTATTGAGTGCCTACAGTGTTCCTAACTGT